ATCACCTGAATTCAGCCTTCATCTGTGTGTCTTGATACTGCTGTTACACATGTGTGTGTCCCTAAGCTACGTATAGCAATGATGCAGGAACACTGGGCACAGAGGTGATCGGGCCCACATTCGCACTGAGACAGGGGTTCTTGTCCCACGCTCAGGAAGAATTAGTTGCGGACACAGAGCCTAGGTATAGCAAAGGGGGAGTTTACTAAAGGAGAGGGAAGGAGAAACAGCTCCCAAGAAGGGAGGGGTCCTGGAAAATGGATTGCCAAGGAAGAACTGTGGGGAGGGCTTTTTATTTGGGTCAGGAAGAGTTTGGTTAGACTTGTTCTAGGTGGGACTTGTGCATGCATTTCCCTCCTGGTAGGGAGAGGCACAGGCTGGATGGGTCCAATTATTTTCCAAATGTCAGAGTGTGTAAGGTCATTGGATGGGAGAGTGTTGAGGAGCATTGTGTGAAGTCCTTGGTTCTTTGGGTCCAGATCACTAAAATTAAAGACTTGTCCCTAGGCACAAAATACAGCCACAACCACAATAAAAGGAGGTAGGAAAGAGAATTTAATAGGAAAGAAGGATTTTTGAAAAGAAGTACACCCGGAAGACCTTAGTGGGCAGGTTGCTAGAAAGCAACTGCTTTTGGATGTGCTTAGGTGTTACTTTTATTATCAGAGGTGGTAATGAATATTCAACAGTGGGAGGTCTGTCACATGATTTATATCCTTTGTTTGAATTCCCGGGCTTTTTCCCGAGCTTGTGCATCTTTCTCAGGGGAAGAATCTGAGGAATTTGATCACCTAACTGCGCATGCCCAGTGGGAGCCAGGAGGCTTATTAGGACAGACTGCACAATTAGTTTATTGCCCCAGTGGGAATCAGGATGTTGACCAAAATGTCTGGTTGATCTTGTTGTATTTATGAAGAATGATAAGAGGAAAATTTACAGTCATCCCCGTCTTCCTCAGGTCCCAAGGAAGGAAAATGGTATGTGCCTCGCCTTCCCGGAGCAGGAGCTGGGTGGGAAGAAGGCATTTCACGGAGGGTCTGGTTTTAACTCCTGATAAATTGTGACTGACGCCCACGTGTCCTAATTCTCTTAGGGCTGCCGCCATCACTAGCTAACCCCTATCACAGGCACCAAGGCCAGGAGATTCTTTGTCTACAAGCTTTGGGCCAATAAAAAAACAGTTATCTTATCTTCCTCCTAGAATGCGGTGGGGCCTGGAAAAAGCCTGTTTTAGGTCTTGGTCATGCGGCCTAGGTGGGTCACTGAGCCAGCCCTGCCTCCATCTCACAGCCTAGCCATTTTGTGATTCTATTTTGGGCCTGCAGCCTAAGTATATTTTAGGGTCCCTGTCTCCTACCTCAGCGACAGCACGGTTCTGCTTGGCGTTACACTTCGTAAGCTCTTGCAAAGGTGTACAGCCGTATCCCCTTCAGCCCTCTTGCCTGTGAGATTCCTCCAGGTGCAAACGTGATGCCCCGGTCGTTTCCGCAGTTGCCTAGCTTATCACACACCGCCTGTTCACCTCCCAGCGACAGACGTTCAGGCTTACTTTCTGCGATGGCCAACAGTGCCACTATCGGCATTGCAGTCCCTGTCCCTCCTCCGTGGGGCAGTTTCTCCAGGTGCGGAGGTGGGCGTGCGGCCAGAGTCCTCCTGCCTGGCCTTTCACTTCATCAGAGATCGCCAGTGGGCCTCTAAAGCGGTGGGACCCCTGTGGCTTCCAAGTCCTCCCGCTCGGGGCAGTAGGTGCCCTGGGGGCGGGGACTCTGCGGATCCTCCCTCCCAGGGATTTCCCGGACTTTAACACCTAAATCCCGGAGGCCGGCTGGCCGCGGGGATTCG